TTTTCCAAGGACCAGACTAATTAAGTAAGGCCAGTAGGTTGGTCATTTGGTGATGCATTATTTGGCTATGGCAACTCATGGAGCAAAAGGAAAAAAAAAAAAGTAAAAAGAGTTTGGGAAGCTAGTAAAAATTAAATGCTGAGTTAGACAAGGAGTCCTGGTTTAATCTTTTCTTGGTCACTGAGGTCTATATTTCTATTCTTTATAATTATTCTACCAAACAATCAGATTGCCTGTGGATTTTTCCTTGGAAGAGATCTGAGCTCCTTTCCTTCCAGAATTCTATTTCTGATCTCTATTGGCCTATAGGAAGTTTTGTGTGTGTGTGTGGTGTGTGTGTGTGTGTTTACCGCTAATGTGAAGGTAAATATTGAGTACTTTAAAAGCTTCAAATTTCCGATAGGCATCACCCCATTCCCCCATACCATAAACAGATCTAGAGAATAAATTAAAAGAGATGCATATACAACTAAAGGATACTAGTTCCATCAGCAATGTAAAAGAACAACTAATAGCCATTGCCTGATGAAAGGAAAATATCAAAATAATTTCAGTAAATTGGAGCTGGGCAACATAACATAGATAAAGAACCAGCCTCAAAGTCAGGAATACCAGGGTTCAAATGTCACCTGTGACATATTGGCTATGTGACTGTGGGCAAATCACAGCCTCTCAAAGCCACAGGCAATACTCTAAGGCTATTTGTAGAGTAGTACCCATCTGTCTTGATGGAAGGCATTTGCTCACTGGGAGTTTCCCATACCGATGAATCATGGCCATGGACCAGTTGTAAATGAGACTTGGGTTGAATGTAATTAGAGCAGTATTCTGATTCCTAAAAGTAATTTATACTTATAAATAATGTGTATAATATGCTTCATTTAAAAAAAATCAGTTACAATTTAGGGGTAAACTGTATAACAGAAGAAAAGTTGTTTTATATAATTTTTAAAATAAAAGTTAATATTATGCTTAGCTACTGATTACACTAATTTTTTCCAGCTCTGGAGTACTTACTGGATCACTCCCTTCCTGGCCATTAGTACCTAAAAGTTCCATTTCTGGAAGTATGCAGCTGAGGGGAACTGGTGAAGTAGGAAAGCTTTGTGGGGCATTGCTATTTTTTTATGAGGCAATTGAGGTTAAGTGACTTGCCCAGAATCACACAGCCAGTGAGTGTTATGTGTCTGAAACTGGCTTTGAACTCGGGTCCTCCTGACTCCAAGGCCAGTGCTCTATCCACTGTGCCACCTACCTGCACCACTTTTTTAAAAGTTTTTTTTTTTTTTACACGTAACTGGAAATTTTATATTTTTGCTTTTTGGTGAGGCAATCAGGGTTAAGTGACTTGCCCAGGGTCACACAGCTACAAAGTGTCAAGTGTTTGAGGCTGGCTTTGAACTTGGGTCCTCCTGACTCCAAGGCCAGAGCTCTATCCACTGTGCCACCTAGCTGCCTAATTTTGTTTTATTTTTTATTTTTGACCCACCATTAAAAAAAAAACAGCAATAAAAACCCAACATGGAAAAAATAATTAGTAAGGGGAAAAGGTCAAAGGAGGGAATTCTACTAAAAATCAAACAAAAGAACACCAATCTATTGGTGCAACAGAATTTTAAGATATTTTGTTAATCAGGAAGATCCAAATTTTCAGGTTTACACCACTGCCAATTTAACTTTCCTATTGTTAGGAGCTTCTCCCTGCTTCAAAATCTCCAGTGGCTTCCCTTTGTCTACAAAACACAATATGAATGCTTTACTTCCAACATTTGAAGCCCTCCATGTTCTGTTTTTCACTCCATGTACTGTTTTGTCTTCATTCTGCTTTCTACTTGTTTCTGTTTCTTCTGTTTTCTACTTTTCATGCCTCATTTCTCACTATTTCACTTTGTGTACTCTACATTGCTACCAAACTGGAGTACTTGCTACTTTCCAGAGTTGTGTGGCCCTTTTTTTGTCTCTATGGATTTGTGCACACACAGCCTCTATCTCTGAAATGGATATCTCCACATCTATGTCTACTGAAATACTTTCCTTCCTTCAGGACTCAGCTTAAATGCTTCTTCTTTCATAAAAACTTCCCAGTTATCTCTAGACAAAAGAGACTCCTTCTTCTCCCAAGTCTGCTGTGCCTCCCTGCTATATCTTTGCTTTTGTGCTTATCTTATTCTATCATTTAACATTAAGTGATTACTGTATTTATTGTGCTGGCATTGAGAGAATATGCAAAGTTTAGATACAGTTCATGTGTTCTTTTTATTAAATTTATCTGCAGATATTCTTCCAATAAACAGTAAGCTTTTTGAGACCTGAGAAAGGTTGTTTTTTTTCTTTGCATCCCTAGCAAGAAGTATAGTGCCTCACCCACCTTGTTGAATTAACAGAGGGAAGAGATAAAATACATACACAAAGTGCATAAGAAAAATTGCAAAAAAAAAAAAAGTGTTATATGAGGATCAAGGTCCTTAAGGACCAGAGGGATCTGGGAAGTCTTTATGTAGGACCTGAGTCGGACATTAAGGGCAAGTTGAAATTCAAAAGGGAAAGAAGGCATAGGGAATAGAATGAGCAAAGACATAGTGGAATGAGAGAATAAGACACATTGAAGGAGGGAGAAAAAACTGGATGACAAAGGATATAGAAGGGAAAGATAGGGAAGGTGGGCTGGGACCAGGCTGTGGAAGACCTTGAGTTATAAGGGAAATGACAGTAGGCAAAAAAAGGAGTCACTGAGGATTTCTGAGCACATGGGCAATGTGACCAGATATATATGCACAGAGAACAATATAAAGGATATGTTGGAGGATAGAATACAGATAGGAAGAACTTTTAGGAAGCTATTATAATAGTGTAGGTGGGTTAGTAATGAAGATCTATATTAGGGTGGCAGCAGTGGGAATAAAGAGGAAACAGATGCAAATAATGCCTCTTGTTGTTTATTCATTTCAGACTCTTCATGACCCCATTTTGGGTTTTCTTGGCAGAGGTACTGGAGTGGTTTGCCGTTTCCTTATCCAGCTCATTTGACAGATGAGGAAACTGAGGCAAAAGGGTTAAGTGACTTGTCCAGGGTCACACAGCTAATAAGTGTCCAAGACTGGATTTGAACTCAGGTCTTCCTAACTCAAGGCCCAGTACTCTATCCATTGTGCCACCTAGCTGCTGCTAGGTAATACAGCTGAGTTACAACTGTGAAGATTCTTTATAAGAAGTGAGGGAGAGGTAAGGGAAAAATAACTAACCCGAAGGTTTTGAACATAGGTCATAGGGAGAATGGTGGTGGACACAGACAAAAAAAATAGCGAAATTGAATGGAGGGGCAGCTTTAGGGGGAAAAGAGAATATGCTTAATTTTGGACATGTTGAATTTGAAATGGTAGTTGTATGTTTGGATGATGATTTCTTATAGATAGCTGGGGATTCTGGTCTTAAACTAGAGAGAGAGAACAAAAGATAAAGATCTGAAAGTCTCTTTGGGAATAAAACGACTTTACCATGGGAGAAAGTACGTGTAATATGGGAGGGGGGGACGGAGAGGAAGACAGACAGAGAGAGAGAGAGAGAGAGGGAGAGAGAGAGGGAGGGAGAGGACTAGGATGAAGAAACTGAAGGTGACAACAGTTAAGAGACTTATCCAGGGTCATACAGCTACTGACTGGTACAGAATTCAAAGTTAGGGCTTAGCAAGGGCAAGTCTAGCAAACTATCCACTCTACCACCTTCAAAGACAGAGAAGAGGATAAACAGAGAAGTTATACAGTTAGGAAGACAGTATGGAATCTCTGAAGCTAGAAAAGGAAAGAAAATTCAGTGGAAGGTAGGAGTCAACAGTATCAAAAGTTGGTAACCTAAAGAAGCAACTTCAAAAGAGGGAATGAGGTAGACTAGAATGTGAGGAGTTGAGAGAGAACCAGCAGTGAGGCAGCTGGCTACTTTCAATATTAATATTTTTTTTTGAGAAATTTGTTAGTGAAAGAGGGGAGAAACATGCAATAAAAAAGTCAAGGGGAAACTTTTTTTTTTTAGACTTGGAAAAACTTGAGCATGTTTTAAATTAGATAAGGGGTCAATGGAGAGGGAGAAATTGAAGATGCATGAGATAGAATTGGTTGGTGGAGGCAGAAAAAAATGGATTCGAGGGAGGCAAAGGGACTAGCCTTAGTGAGGAGGGATACCTCTTGCTCTTCAGCCAGAGAGATGTAGTGTCATTCAGTATGAGGAACGCAGTATTAACTGAGGGAGCTCCTGTCCAGTGACTGAAATCTTTTCTTTGAAGAAGGTGCTCAATTATTTGCAGTAAGTTCAGGCATAGGGCTATTGTTTAGGAAGAGTGGAAAGAGAGGGGAGCTTTGGAATAGTTGCTGCGGGGAAAGACGTCTCATTCTAACTTGTATTATAGTGGCGTATGTCTCACACGAAACTACAAACTTCTTGACCACAAGAATCTTTTTCTTTGTCATATTTGTCTCTCTGGAGTCTTATAGTGGTAGGGGTATAATGAAGGTGTGTTGAATTGAATAGGTAAAAGACTGCCTACATTTCAAGTTTTCAGAGCATCTCACTGTTCTTTTGGGTTTAATTTACAGCGAACTTTCATGTTACTACATATATACATACATACATATTTAGTGTACATAAGAAAAACAATCTTTTTTTGTCATAGTAATAGTTAAGAGAAGCAATTTATTGGGATATTTATTATCAAGAGCATTAGTCATTTTACATGAAAAATGTGACACAAAAATAAAATGTATCACTTTCAATTCAACCAAATGACTCCTTTTATTTTGTGTATTTTACAATACAGAGATTAAATCTTAGCATATATAGTAAGAAACACCATAATTCATGTAGGAAACACACCAAATCCATAAACGTAGGAAATTTAATGTGCACAATAGGTTCAAATAACTAACCAAGGTTTCTATTTGCTATCTTCAATTAATTACTAATCATTTATAAAGTTTAAAATCCTAACAATATAAAGAATTATGTCCAAATGTTATCAACAGTTCATTTATTTTGCACTGGATAGTTTGTTAGCCTGCATTTGAGCAGGAGAGCTCTTCCTAAGGGGGGTTCATAAGACAAGCTGGGGTATAGATTTTCACAGTTTCATCCCAAGCACAGTCAGCTACCTAGAAAACACAAAAGTTTAAGTTAGCAGAAACATTTATATAGATAAATTTATTTAGATATTTTGAAATGGCAGCAAACCAGAAACCATTTCTGGTACCTATTTTGTCAACAGCATTATCTTTGAACATAAAGAACAAAGAGATATTTTTAACAAAAAAAAAAAATTTACCCTCCCCACATAAATTTCAGAGACACAAAATGCTGTTGACTACACAGATAGCTGGTTTAATCTACTAGAGTTCAAACAACCGATTGATAGAGCAGCATTTCTAAAGCACCTCCTATGTGCCAGGCAGTACATTAGATAGTAGGAATACAAGGACAAACAACAAAGAGCCCTAATATAGAAATGACCCATGCCCAGGTGCTTCCCCAGACTGCCAAGAAAGTGTAGTTCGGTGGTTAAATTAATGATTTGAGATAAGTCTCAACTATGGCAGAGCCTAGTTTTTCTTTTTCTGTGTGTTTAATCTAAGACAGATGACATATAAAGGAACAAAACATGCCTTGTTTCCTATACAATCTGTTGAGCAGAAATGCTATGAAAGCTAGATGGTTTTCATTGTTCACCTTTCTGTTGTCTATTCACAAAGCCAAAAAATACCTTTAGAATTTGCTTCTGCATTTTTGGTCCCGTGGCTCTGGTGGAAATATACATTCTGTATTGTAGTTAGGATTACCTTCATCTTCCTAACACCATACTTGAACCAGTGCATCTTTGTCTACTGCCTCATATTATATGCCCATTTTTTTTTTTCTTGTGTACTTGGAACTGTGGTCATCTGTGCTTTATATTTATTCTACAAAACAAAGTCTTTGTCTCCCTTCTCTTCTAATATATCTCTTTGTATTCACAGTACAAAGCTTATGATATTTAGTTAATACTGTGACCATGCTTAATGTGTTACATAAAATACATATGTGTTTATATGTTAAATGTATATTATATGATATTTTACTATATGCATAATATATGCACTGTTTTCTGTTTCTGGAATATTTTATCTTCAACATGAAGTAGTATCATAAAAACTGGAAGTTACATGGGAGATCTCCCAGCTGTGACAAATGTTATCATTTCCCTATTACAGCTTCAGAAATCAAAAACCCATTTAATTTAATCAAAATACATTAAGTTGTGAGGAAGATGATATTAAACCAATAGCTTCAGCTGATTATAGAATCTAGGCCTCAGATCCACATCAATATTCTCATTTTACAAAGGAAATTTAGGTCTAAATGAGTTAAACTGTCAATAAAATATAAAACACATAGACTTAGAGGCAAGACTAGAACTCAGATCTCTTGAGTCTCATACTAGCTGCCTTTCTTCTTAAAAAAAAAAAAGGGAGGGGAGGTGTCTTTTGAAAAAGACAGATTAACACTGACTATTTAGAGAACTCAGCATAACCTATTTTCCTAGCCACAAATCACAGAAATCACAGCTACTTATCCTTGTGTTTTATGTACATTTTTCTTGTCCTTTCCCTATATGTGTGGCAGTAATTATTATTATTTTGCCAAGGAGATGAGGAACTGAGGAACAGGATATAAATTAATCATCCAAGATTACTCAGAAATTCACTTCTCTCATTGCTGTTTCACTGCCTTGTACAAAGTAAATATTTTTTTGCTGAATGAATTCAATAGTCCACCTTCCAGTCTCTTATATTAAAAAAAAATTCAATAATTAGGGAAATTTATTAACATCCATAAATAAAGCCCTTGTAACATATTACTATGAATGGACCATTCAAAATGAATGCAAATAACCAACAAAATTTAGCAGGATTTTACTACAATTCTTCAAATGGTGTTATGACTTTCTCATGAGAAAAAAAAGCTACTTGAAATCATACTGAACCAAAAATAGCTCAGCTGGGTCACATCTAGCTCTGGCTAAAGACTTTAGAAGGGTGGAAGGGAAGAAAGGAGCTAAGTGACTTGGATGAAGAAGTGAAAAAGAATGACCTCTCTCTAAATAAACCAATTTTTCCTACATAAAGCACTCTTGCTCCCAAGTCTGAGAGAATGCCCAATGTCAATACCTGAACTGAACAGCTTATAGCAGCTGAACAATATCACTCTAAGTTTTCTGGTACCTAAGATGAAAAGGTAAGAATACTGGGTTACAAAGTTGTTTTTTTTCTGCTGAAAGAAAGTATAAATAACTATTTTCAGTGACTATGTTTTTCCTGCAAGTGACCATAAGCAGTAATTTACTATGTGGATCTCTGTAAGGGCTTTAAGCGACTTTGGTGAACAATATCATAAGACCTATTTTTAAAAAAAAGAAAAACAATTAATTTCTTTGAAAGAGAGGGGAAAAAGCAGTTCAAAACTAACCACATAACTGAGACTGACAGTATATGCAACATTCTATACCTATAGTCCCCTGATCTCTACAAAGAGGGAAGGGAGGTTTATTTTCCTGTATATTTTTCTTTGGGGCCAGGTCACGCTCTATTTTTAATAAAAGACACAGAAACACCATTCAACTAAATGGTTCTCAAATTTACTAGAGGCAACTAAGTGGCTAGTGGATAGAGCACTAGGCCTGGAGTCAGAAAGACTGCAGTTCAAATCCTACCTCAGACACTTATTAGTTCTGTGCCCCTAGGCAAGTCACAACCTCTCTCTGCCTCAATTTTCTAAACTGCAAAATGGGGATCATAATAGCACCTATGTCACAGCTTTGTTGTGAAGAACAAATGAGATATTTTTAAAGCATTTAGCACAGTGCCTGGCACATACTGGGCACTTAATAAATGACTGTTCCCTTCTTTTTTATTGGAAAATCCTCTAGTTTATTTTTTTACAGAAGATGCTTGTACTTGGTTTTAGATATCACTTATTTCTGTTTTCTAATTTTTTAAAAAAGGAATAGAACGTGTGTTTTGTCAAAATTGTTTCTGCATTTATTGATAAATAATCATATGACTTGTTATTCTTGTTATTAATATGGTCAATTATATTTGTAGTTTTCATAGTGTATAATTATACTTCATTTCTGTAGTCTCCTCAATAATAATTTATAAATACTTTTTTATCAGTATTCATGAGGGATATTGAAAACCATAAAATACAGAAAAACATAGTTATCTTTCTCTGTTCTGACTCTTCCAGTTTTGGTGTCAAAACCATATTTATACCATAGAAGGAATCTGGCAGGACTTCATCTTCTTCCATTTTTTTTTCAAACAAATTTCAAACAAAATTGGAATTTTAAAAAAATGTTTCAAAGAATTCACAAGTAAATCCAAATGGTCCTGGGTTTTAGTCTTTGGAAGTTCATTTATGGCTTGCTCAATTTCTTTTTCTAAGATTAGGCAAAATCCTTTATTTCTTGTTCAAATAAGCTGTGCATTTAATATTTTTGTAAATATTCATTTATTTCATTTAGATTGTCAGTTTTATTGATACATAACTGGGTAAAATAGTTCCAATAATTTCTTTTATTTCTTTGTGAATTTACCAATTTTATTTTTGACACTTATAATTTAGTTTTCTTCTTTTTTGTGCATTTTGTCGGCTTAAAAAAACACATAGCTTTATTAATTCAATGGTGGGGTTTTTGTTTCGTTTTTACTTTCAATTTTGCTAATTTCTTCTTCAATCTGCAGAATTCCTATTTTGATGTTTGATTGGCAGCTTTACATTTGCTGGTTTTCTAGCTTTTTTAAAGGTTCCATTTACAATTTATTGATCTGTTCTTTTTCTCTTTTGTTGATGCAAGTATTTAGATATATACATTTCATCTAAAAATTGTTTTAGTTATATTCTAAAAATTTTGATACATTATCACATTGTTGTTATTAACTTTAATGAAATTATTGATTATATTTGTGATTTGTTCTCTGACCCACTCATTCTTTAGAATTAAGTTAGTCTACAATTAGCTTTAAAACTTTTAAAATGTTTTTATTAATATCTTCTTTCTTACATCATAATATTCAAAGTATCCTTCCCTCTCCCCAAGAGCCATTCCATATAACAAACTTTTTTAGAGAGAAAAAAAAATCAGCACACCTGACCAACACACTGAAACACTCTGAAAATATGACTAATGCACAATCCCAGTGGACCTCCCACCTCCACAAAGGGGTGGGTTGGGGCTCTCCTCTCATATCTCTTTATTTGAGACCTGCTGTATTTTTATAATTTTGTTACATTTGCTTTTGATTTTTTGATGTGTAGTTGCTCTTTCCATTCACATTCTTGTAGTTACTACATACATTGTTTTCTTGGCTCTGCTTAATTAATTCTGCATCAGTTCACATAGAACTTTCTATGCTTTTCTGTATTTATTACACACATCATATCTGACAGCACAGTAATATTCCATTACAGTCACATACCACAACTTGTTTAACCATTCCCCAATTAACAGACATCTACTTTGTTTCCAATTCTTAGACATCCCAAAAAGTGAAACTATAAATATTCTGGAGTATATGGGAACTTTTTTCTTATTGATGGTTTTCTTGGAGCACAAGCCTAGAAAGGGAGTCTCTGGTTCAAAGGACTTGGACATTTGAGTCACTTTATTTGCATAATTCCAAATGGCTTTCCAAAATGGTTGTACACACAGCTCCACCAACAATGTATTAGTGTGCCTATCATTCTATAACTCCTCCAACACCGACTTTTTTTTTTGCCAATTTGCAGGGGTAAAGTGCAAATACAAGGTTGTTTTGATTTGCATTTCTCTGATTTTTACTGAAGTACAGCATTATTTCACATGGTTGCAAATACTTTGCAATTCTTCTTTTGACAACTGTTCATTCATATCCTTTGACCACTTATCTATTTGGGAATAGCTATTAGTCATATATCTATGTCTATATGTACACATACATACATGTTTATATCTACATGACTATATATACCTATCTGTAGCTATGCGCAATTACATATATAGACATAAACATATCTTTATGACTATATATACCTAGCTGTACCTCTATCTATCCAGCCAATTCTCAGCTTTTGCAGTGGTAACATTTCTAGAAAATGGTGCAAAAGTAAAAAATGCAAATGGTGACACACTGAACCTACAGGAAAAAAGGAGGTTGGGTTCTCACAACCACCAGAAACTGTAACTTTTCTCTAGAGGTTGCTGAAATACTCTTTTCCACACACAATTCGTTATAAGAAAATATGAATTCTGATAATGTACACTTTTCCTAACATAGTACTCATGAAATAATTTATGAAATGCAGAGGAGAAGACAGGCACCACTGGACAAGAGGAGGAGGGGTCAGGGACTGTGATGTCATAAAAATTCTGAGGTAAAAAAGGGAAAGGAGTGATCTGCCATCACTAATCTCCCTTTTAGCTCCATGGTTAAACTGTGTCCCAATGAAAAGCACATGCCACCATCTCATTTACTCACTGAGAAAACCAAATTGATTCTGATTTCATTTTGTAATTGATTCTATTCTATATTACCCCTAATATGCTATAAAACTGCCTAAGCCATGTTTCTTTATCTGAGTTAAGTTCAGTTTTCCTCCCCCAGATAAGCTGTCCCTAAATTACCCAAATTCTAAGAAATATACTGTCTCTACACATCTTACTATCTATGTACAATTAAAGGAAATCTGTTATCTCCCTAACAAGCCTTGCAAGAAACAGGTGGGTGCCAGAAAGTCTCTTATCTCTGCAATGCTGGCTGTCCTTCAAGAAAGTCTGGACTGTGAAGGCTATGACTTTAACCATGCAGGTGGACACCACCAATGAACTTTCTATAGCAACAAGATGGAGGGAGGGGATGTTGCTTGTCTTGCATTCCTGACTTCCATCCAATCATATTGTTTTCCATCATCTATGATACTTTAGGCTTTGTAACCAATCACATTGTTTTGTTTCCAGTTCTTTGTTCTTTTCTACTTCTCAAAACTTTATGAAGGCTAATAAGCCCCACTTCATTAAGCCCCCAATTATCCTAGCTAACTTCAGAGTAACTCATCATCAGGGGGTTAATTATGATTTACAGTGGTTGACTAGGTACCCAAACTGATGGAAACATAGATTCTTTATCCTATGTTGATGATAAATTTCATTTTTCCACCAATTCAAATTTTCTTCCAGATAACGGGTAAAAATATCCATTTTTTATTCATGGATACATCAAATTGTTTGCTGTTTTGCTAGAATCTTCCTGGAGGCATGACAGCTACCTGACAGTTGTCAATAGTGGTAGACACCACAACCTGTACCTTGTTAAGATAATTTATTACCTCAGGGAAGAGAGGAAAATATAAGTATGTGATATCCATTACCTGAGTAGGGCTATGTAGACTTAAATCTAGCCCACATGTAAACTCTGTATGATGCTCCACTGTTTCAAGGAGAGGATCAGGCTTCGAAAAGTTCCAGAATCTGTTGACATAAACACAAAAATGATTCAAGTAGTCAAACTCGTTTTTAAAAAATTACTCTGAGGAATATGGATTATTAACAATACAGATAAATGTTTCAAATACCTAATATGAAGAGAAGTACAAATTAAGACAATTCTGAATTAAATTGCCAAAGGTGATATATGAAAAAGAAAAAAAAGCAAAAGCTAGCTTGACTGTGAAGGCACTATTAGTACAGTAGCGGTGAACAGTTCCAAACAATCTGGTTATCAACTTGAGGTTTCACAAAAAAAGCAACCAGATTGGTTGTGCTGGAACAGTCTGTAATTCCTATTACCAGGGAAGCTGAGTCTCAGAGATCTCTTGAGCTGCAGTGGACTAAGCCAACTGGGCGTCCACATTAAGTTCAGCATTAATATGGTAAGTGCCTGAGACCAGAAGGGCCACCAGGTTAAGGAGGGGCAAAGCAGCCCAGGTAAAAAATGGGGCAGGTCAAAGCTCTCATGTTAATCAGAGTGGGACAAAATAGATGAGTCTTAAGGCTACACTTCAGCCCAGGCAAGAGAGGAAGCCTAATCTCAAAAACAAAATAAAACAAAACAAAAAAAGTAACCAAATACATATGCTCTTTGACCCTGAGATCCCACTACAAGGTTTATACTACATAGGAGTAAATGCTAGAAAGGACAGTCCCATATATGTCAAAAATTTTATAGCAGCAAAAAAACTAGAAGTAAAGTAGGTGTCTAACTGAGTGATAAATGGCTACACAAATTGTAGTACAGGAATATAATAGAATATTACTGAGCTGTAACAAATGGCAAATGCAAGGAACTCAGAAAAAAGAAGATTTGAATGAACCGATGCAGAACAAGAAAGCAGAACAGAACAATGTACACAGTGACTACAATAATGTAAATTTAAAAAAAACACTAAAATACATTAAAATTCAGAATATATATAATGTCTAATTTTTATTCCAGAGGTGTGATAATGAAATATTTTTTCCTCCTTTGTCGGACAGGTGAGGAGCTCTATGCGCAGATTGTTACATACACTGTCATCATTTTCTCAAGTTTTGGTAATTAACAAAACAATAAATCAAGGCTTGATTTGTAGTGTTTACTAATTTCCAAGATGTAAATGGTCACCCTGGAAATTTAACAATGGTAAAAGTTGGCTACAGTACATCCCTGAGTATCACCCATGGACAGTCTACATTCAATGCTGGTAGCCACAAGAAGTCAAAAGAACTAAAGAAAGTTAGTTTCTAGAACTTTGGATACATCCCGTGACAGATTTACAAGAGAACAAGATGATCAGGTGTGAATGGATCACAATCTGCATTTAAAGAGTACATACATAGATATGATCACAAATCCATCTAAATTTTAAAGAAACTCTGCCAACTATGGATTACTATACAACTACCAAGCTAAAAGTTTAAATGAGTTTTATTATTTATCGTTTGATGTTTAAAATGTAATTTTTACTAAGATTTTGCAATTCAATAATGTCCAAAACAGAACTCTCATTTTACAAATTAGCAAACACAGAGAGGTTAAGTGACTAGCTTAAGGTAACAGTTTGTTGCAGAGTTAAGAGAAGACTCAAAGTCTACAATTCTCTCAATTATACACTCATGCCTATCCAAAGTATTAGTCTGCAAGACATGGCCATTCTCTTTTACCTTTATAAATACCTCAGAATATCCTCTAAGGTGGTAATTTCATTTTTTAGTTTTTCAGGAGCTAGGATGGAGTAAGAATATACAAGAATATATTTGTGAGAAGAATGGTTTCTGTTTTTACATTTTTGGTAGCTGAGCAAAAATATAAGTTTCCACAACCAAGAAATATGAGTTAGACCACAAAAACTTCAAAGATCCTTTCCAGTTCAAAATTTTATGATTCTAAATAAAACATTAATGCATTTGTGCTAGACAACAACCTCCTTGGGGATAAGGCCCATGTCTTACTCATTTACTCTGTAATACCCATAACACTCAGCACATAGTAAATACTCAGTATGTGTATTTAAAATAATATCTAATAAATGAATGTCTTCAGGAGTGACATAAAAAAATCTCATTTAATTTTTATTTCACCAGATATGGAAATTTTTAAAAAATAATTTTTCCTCTGTGAATTTCTGTTTAATCATGAAATTATCTTTTTCAGACAATACTTTCCTTATAGTTTGGACTTCTATTCCACTCAATGTAAGAGACCAGCTAAGAATATATTTATTTTCATAGGTATACATTAGAAAATTATATCTATCATTTGAAGTCTGATAATCATAACATGTTACACCTCTTTTATAAAGAAGAATTAGACTGTTTGCCATGGATAAAATGAAGGTTTATTTCTAAATGAAAAGCTTTATTTACCACTTTTTAAAAAATCTGACTCTAAAATATACCATAAAAATACCACATTTTAACTTAGCAAGACATACCCTACCAAAAAAAAAATCCAAAGCCACTCCATTACCTGTAACATGGAAAACACTGAAAGTTCAGCAGATATGTCTGGGAACAGAGTAAACACACAGAACCAACAGTATGAATTTATTTAACCTGTTGGTATTTTTTTCCTCAATAAATGCATAAGGTAATCCTATTAAGTTGTAAAAGGATTGTTGCTATAGATTATTTATTGTTGTTGGTACCAGAAAGGCAATTAATAAGTAGGTCATTTACCAGATGACTAAGATTTACAAAACATTTAGAAAGAGTGATTTCATGTTTGGAAATCTTCCTGTTCAAATAGATAAAAGAACAAGCTGTAGTCTTTCTCAGAAATCATAATAGTGGCCTCCTTTGTTTTTCACATATATTCCAGGATAAAGCACAATTACAGTCAAAATTTAATTTTCCAAACACTGTTATGAATTCTATAGGCAAAAGTAATTCTGTATGTCCTACTGAATTTCTAAAACCAAAATTATTCCTATGCTAGAAAAGTATCAATTTTTTAAATATAATTTATGCAAACAGTTCTTCCATCAGCTATCTGTTGAAAGGTAAGAACTTTGAGGTTTTTGACAAATAAGAATAATACAAAGAAATAGGAAAGATATATGTATGTGTATATATATATATATATATATATATATGAGTGAAGGAGAATAGCAGCAAAGAATCTAATATTGCATGCAGATAAAGACTCATTAAAGTTAATATGTGTTCTTTTAAAAATACTCCAAAGTTTATGGTTTTATGTATTTTTATTTGAGTTTTTGTTACTAAGTTTATAAAACTTTAAAAAAATTTTGTCTTACATAATTTCTGTTCCTTTTTAATTAAACAATTTATTTATTAATTTTTAGTTTTCAACATTCACTTCCATAAGATTTTGAGTTTTAAATTTTCTCTCTCTCCCTCTCCTCTCCACTCCCCAAGACGGCATGCAATCTAATATAGGCTCTACTTACACTTTCATATTAAAGCATATTTTCACATTAGTCATGATGTAAAAAAGAATTAGAACCAATGGGAGGAAGCATGAGAAAGAAGAATCAAAACAAAACAACAAAAAGAAAAGGAGAGCAAATAGTATGCTTCCATCTACATTCAGATTCCATAGTTCTTTCTTTGGATGTGGACAGCTTTTTCCATCGTGAGTCTTCTGGAGTTGTCTTAGATTCTTGCATTTCTGAGAAGAGCTAAGTCTACCAAAGTCAGTCATCACACAGTGTGGCTATTACTATGTACAGTGTTCTCTTGGTTCTGCTCACTTGATTCAGCATCAGTTCATATAAGTCTTTGCAGGTTTTTCTGAAGTCTGCCTTCTTATCATTTCTTTTTTTAAAATTAATTAATTTATTTTTAGTTTTCAACAATCATTTCTATAAGCTTTTGAGTTTTAAATTTGCTCCCCCTTCCTTCCCTCCTCCCTCCCCAAGACAGCACACAATCTGATATAGGCTACACATATACATTCCTATTAAACATATTTTCACATTAGTCATGTTGTAAAGAAGAATTAGAACCAACAGGAGGAACCACAAGAAAGAAGAAACAAAACAAAACAGAAGAAAAAAAAAGAGCAAGTAGTATGCTTTGATCTCCACTCAAACTCCACAGTTCTTTCTCTGGATGTGGATAGCATTTTTCATCATTGGACTTGTGGAGATGTCTTAGATGCTGAGAAGAGCTAAGTCTATCAAAGTTAGTCATCACACAATGTGGTTGTTACTGTGTATAATGTTCTCCTAGTCCTGCTCACCTCACTCGGCATCAGTCCATACAAGTCTTCCCAGGTTTTTCTGAAGTCTGCTTGCTCATCATTTCTTATAGCACAACAGTATTCCATTACATTCATATACCACAACTAGTTCAGTCATTCCCCAATTGATGGGCATCTCCTCAATTTCCAATTCTTGGCCACCACAAAAAGAGTGGCTACAAATATTTTGTTTATATGGGTCCTTTTCCTGTTTTTATGATTTCTTTGGGATACAGACCTAGAAGTAGTATTGCTGGATCAAAGTGTATGCACAGCTTTATAGCCCTTTGGGCATAGTTCCAAATTGCTCTCCAAAATGACTGGATCAGTTCACAACTCCACCAACAATGCATTAGTGTTCCAATTTTCCTACATCTTCTCCAACATTGATCATTTTCCTGTTTTATCATGTTAGCCAATCTGGTAAGTGTGATGTGGTACCTCAGAGATGTTTTGATTTGCATTTCTCTAATCAATTGTCCCTTAAATTCTTAAATGAAATCTGTAAGAACTTCAAGAAATATGCAACTGGATTATTAGCTTATTACATTATTCTTTGGTATTCTTCAACAATAAGGAATATTATTACTTATTTTGAGGTTAGATTCCTTAGTGTTGGTTTGCCTTAGTGAAATATTAATTAATAAGTCATTGCTGGTCAGAGGCAAAGTAAAACTTTGTCAAAAATTTCAGAGTTCATAGTTATTCTGAACCACTTCTTTCTGCATCCTTCCCCACCCTCTCAACAGAGGACCCCCAACTCATCCTTCACCAAAAATTTGAGGCT